AGAGTTAGAAACATCGATCAGCTGCCTCCTGCACATCTCCTACTGGGGATATGCCCGCAACCAAGGTACATGCCCTTGACCGGAATCAAACCTGGGACCTTTCAGTCCGCAGGCCGATGCTCTATCCACCGAGCCAAACTGGTTTCGGCTAAATTTTTAATTGTAGTCTACATACTTTATATATTACTAAAATTTGCTGGAATTATATTTATTTATTTCTAAAGGGAACAGTATATCATTAGGATAAAATGTTCCTAATGAAAATAAAAATACTACTTACTACTAACAAATATTTACTGAATCATAGTGTATATCAGGCACTGTTCTAAAGACGCTGAATTCATAATGTCCTTTTCCCCCAATAGCCCTATGAGTTAGGTACTATTATTATCATTGCCCTTTTAAGTATAACACAATGAAAGCTTACAGAATTAAGTAACTTGCCAAATATCACGAAGATGGTTCTGTATAACTTTAAGGTCTGAGCTCTTATCTTTATATGTGACTTCTCATCCAATACACTTGACATCTTAAGTCAACAAGTTGTAGAGCTATAGCATTTTAAAGCCAAAACAATTGTTAAAGATCAAAATGTGGTCAACCCCACCCTCTTCCCAATTTTACAGAGAGGGACTTGGATCCTGAAGTGATGTGACCAAGCCCACGCAGACAGTGCTGGAGCTGAGCCCCATGCCTAGGCCACAGGGTTGTACACAGCACCTGTTCGCAGCTCTGTGCCAGGGAACAATATTCCCAGACTCAGAGGGGATTCAAGAACCTGTTCTGCTGGCGGGTAGCTGTGGTGCTGCCAACACTCTCAACTGCCTGTGGCCTCACGTAGGAAACACTTCTGAGATCTCCAAGTAAGTGTGCATTCCAGTCCTACCCTTTCCCACCAGTCAGCTAATTACTGGAAATAGTGAATGAACCCATTCCTACTTCTGACTCACTGTGAGAAGGATAAACAATATGCAGCATGACATTTAGAAGATCAAAGTGATTAACTGCACAATCCATTGCGTAATTTGACTGCACTTGAATAACATAATTACACTTAATCTTCTACCCATTTTTAAAACTACTAGTATGTAAATCTTAGAATGTAATGAGAAGGAAAAAAAGGCTGACTCTTAAAGGAAATTAATAGGAATAGCTGACCTTTGTTTATCACTGTTTATGAATACCTATAATTCTTTCTTCCTTATGCACAGACTAAAAGTAATAGTATTTCTTTAATACTCCTATTTTCCCTCCTTGTCCCTATGAATTATTGATAAGTATAAGGTTGATAGTAAGCTATTCTCTAACACTCTGAAAGCTTCTTCTGGAAACTTTTATCTGAAAGTGCCACCTGCATAAATGTTTATTTTTTGTTTTATGACTTTAAATTCAGACGACAGAGACAAAGTTTAGTAGTCAGAGGACTAAGCTAGGAGTCAGGAGATCTGGCTTCTTATCCAAGATCTCAAACTAACCAGCTGTGGGAAATCAGGCAAGCATTTTAACCTCTTGGACCTCTCCCTCAGTTCCAAGATCCATAATACAAAGGGATGGGATTGGTTAGATGAGATCCAAGAATCCCGCCTAGTCCTTTAGTTTCAAGGTTTTATGATTCTTCTGGGAAGAAGCAACATTTATTGACAAAAAGGTAACCCCCAGTGCTGCTGAAATACTGGCCTGAATCTATGCACTGAACACTGAGCAGGGGATCCAGAGCCATAGGCACAGGGAACGTTTCCTGCAGGGCCACTGTTACTCCGATTTCTGGAGAAAAAATAATTCAACTAGTAGTTTAATAAGTAACTGGTAATAACTTAATGTATTCTTTCAAAACAGATATATTATGAAGTGAGAAATATTTTAAACATAAAACTTTAAGGTTGTGTCTTTAAAAAGCCACTTATAGGTATATACCTTAGAGAATTAAAAACATATGTCCACACAAAAACTTTGACATAAATGCTCATAGCAGCATTATTTGTAAGAACCAAAAAGTGAAAACAACCCAAATGTCCATCAAAAGATGAATAGATAAGCAAAATATGGTATATCCACATAGTGAAATGATATTAAGCTATAAAAAGGTATGGAGTACTGATACCTGCTAACCAAACACAAAAGGACACATAATGTGTGATTCCACTTATATGAAATCTCCAGAACAGGCAAATAGGAACAGGGAGTAGATTAGTGGTTGCCAGGGGCTAGGAAGAGTGGGGAGTGGGAGTGATTCCACTGGAGAGTGACTGAAGGCTCTAGTCCAGCTGTGGGCAAACTACGGCCTGCGGGCCGGATCCGGCCCGTTTGAAATGAATAAAACTAAAAAAAAAAAAAAAGACCGTACCCTTTTATGTAATGATGTTTACTTTGAATTTATATTAGTTCACACAAACACTCCATCCATGCTTTTGTTCCGGCCCTCCGGTCCAGTTTAAGAACCCATTGTGGCCCTCGAGTCAAAAAGTTTGCCCACCCCTGCTCTAGTCTGTATGGGTATTTTTTTCTGGGGGGAGGGGAGTTCTGTAGTTAGGTAATGATAATGGTTGTACAACTTTGTGAACATAGGAAGAACCAATAAATTGTATACTTTACTAGTGGTCACCAACTGGTGGTCCGTGAGGTCCGAAAGGTTGGCGACTGCTGCAAACT